AATGGTGAGCTGGCCACAAAACCCCCAAAGAAACAGAATGAGGTTCCCCCAAAAGTTCATAGAAGACTCTTGTGACTTTTCAAGGGGTATATTGCTCTGCTTCAAAACTTCACGTGCAGGTTTAGTCTCTATTTACACTTTCGTGATGCATGAACGCACGCCAAAGCGCGCACTTTGTTGGACATTCACGCAACGCGTTCAAAACGTGCGTCACACTTTTTTTCCTTATGTCAAACGCACAGAAAAAACCCAGCAGGACGCTTGCAGCTGAACAGCCGCTGCGTCCAATGCTGACCCCGCCTTCTTCCCTACTTTCGCCGTGAAGGGATTTGCCGTATAGATTGCACGGACTGCTACAGCTGAAATACCAAAAATGAGCGACCAGAAATAATAGCGGGTTTCGGGGACATTCGGTGGCGGTGGCGACGACAGAGGAAATGTTACCGTTTCAATAATAATAACTGAAAGCAATATTTTCTCTCGTCTATTGATCTGCATGGGCGGTTCATGTTGCTATGGCTCCAGATAACACTATCAGCAAATGAATGACCCGTGTTTTTCTTTTATTTGGTTCTTTAAGGACATGTCCTCACCCATAGTTCATTTAAAGGGGAACTGTCACGCCTTTGGTGCAAATGGATTTGGAGTTTTTAAATGAATGGTTCATTTGTTATATTATTCACATAGCATTTTAAAGTGGAACTACAACCTCCTATCCGGGGAAGCCAAGAAAGGCGCCATCTTGGCCTCCATTTGGACTGCAGTTGCCATGGTGCTGCACATGTGATCAGCTTTGACACCAGCCAGTTGAGGGCTTTTGAAAATACATCCACATTCCCTTCAACTTTGATCGCACATTTGAATGATGTCCTCCATTTTTCAAAGTGATTCTGCCTCCCCGTCATCGTCCAGTCTAGATGGCGGCCTCATACCCTCACGCATGAGCATTTGGCTACGAGAACTCGGCTTGCCTAACCATGCATGTGCAGTCTGTTCTCTCTTTTGCAGCAGTGGCTGAGCTCAGCATTCTACAAGTGAGAAAGAGAGCGGACTGCGTGTACGTGGTTAGGCAAGGCGAGTTCTTGTAGCTGAATGCTCATGCGTGAGGGTCTGAGGCCCTGAATGCTCATGTGTAAGGGTCTGAGGCCCTGAATGCACATGCGTGAGGGTCTGAGGACCTGAATGCTCATGTGTGAGGGTCTGAGGCCCTGAATGGTCATGCGTGAGGGTCTGAGGCCCTGAAGGCTCATGCGTGAGGGTCTGAGGCCCTGAAGGCTCATGCGTGAGGGTCTGAGGCCCTGAAGGCTCATGTGTGAGGGTCTGATGCCCTGAAGGCTCATCGGTGATGGTCTGAGGACGTGCACCCAACGACAGGTCTGCCTTGCCATCTAGACTGCGTGCACGTGGTTAGGCAAGGTGAGTTTCTGTAGCTGAATGCTCATGCGTGGGGGGTCGGGGGCCCTGAATGCTAATGCATGAGGGTCGGAGGCTTGCACCCAACGTCCGGTCTCCCCTGTCATCTAGACTGCGTGTGCGTGGTTAGGCAAGGTGAGTTCTTGTAGCCGAATGCTCATGTGTGAGGGTCTGATGCCATCTAGACAGGACAGAGAGCGGGAGCCCAGGGTAGAAGCAGCCTCAAAAGTAAGAGGACATCAATTGTATGCACTTTTATTTCCTGTCTGGAGAAGGCTTATAACCTTTGCCTGTTCCATTGACAACACTTCAGCCCCGCAGAGCATCCCAACTTCATTCACAGCCAATACGGTATAACAGGGGTGGACAAACCCCGGCCCTCCAGCTGTGGTGCAACTACAACTCCCCTGAGGCATTGCGAGACTGACAGCCACAGGCATGACTCCCAGAGGCAGATACATGATGGGATATGTAGTCACATCACAGCTGGAGGGTTGGAGTTTGCCTACGCCTGCTGTAGAACATCAAACTTTAAATAACGGGGTGACCATCCTATAGGATGCTTTTAATTTGAACAGGTCTGAGCGCTCTGCATCGGAGCCAAATTCTGAAGATCCTCTGCATCGGAGGTTAGTTTTTGGTTTGGCAGTCCTGTTGCATAAAAGGCATGATGGGGCCACAGCATTTCTTAGAGCCCCCTGAGGGGCAGGGGGAGGGGTCTTCACGTCGACAGGCCTGGGAATATTGCATAATCACCTTATATCACAATATACAATAAGAAACAGCGAGACAAAAAAAGTTCAATTTTTGATTTTTTTTTTTAATTTGGCATTTTGTTATTTGCATTTATATTAAGCAAAGTGCATCTTTTTAATTTTTTTCTCGTTTATACACATTGCACAATACATAAATAATGAGGGCTTATAAAACGTCTTTTATATTTACAAGTAATAATATATTTATATATAACATAAAATACAATTTTTTTTCTTTAATAAATCTCAGATTTTTTTTTTTCTCTTTTTTAAAGGAGTCCGTTTTTGTTTCTGGTTTTTTTTTTTTTCCTTTAATTTTTTTCCAAAGCACTACATTGCTTTAAGTTCCAAAGAGTGCTTACTCTCTTGTTCATCTAAATTTTCGGTATCTAGAAAAATAGCTTATGTTTAAACATGCTCATTGAGCAATAACCAATGTTAACGTGTCATATTCCACACGTATGATATAGAGAAGGAAAAAAAAAAGAAGGTTCTCTGTGCATAACTTGTACCTTGAAAAAAAGGAGGAAAATTAATGAGCAAATACTGTATGTTTCAGATACATAGCCGCAGATACAACCAAGTTCAGAGCTTCCCCCGGGGGGTCCAGCGTGGACCAATGTGTACGGGAAGGTCAACGTGCTATAATGGCCAAGAGCATTCAGGATGTGGTGAGCAACGTTCCGTGGGCTACATTCACGTGCACATTGGTTTGGCTCCCAAACTGGACGCCTTCAACCTCCCCAAATATGATATTTTAGCTTCTGGTGGGTGCTGGCAAGCTGAATCACTTCTTGGCTTCTAACCCTGGGGTCTTCGGGGTCACCAACCCCAATGGATGGACTTCACAAGGCCAAACGAAGGGAGGTCACAACCTTCCCCAAGATGGATTCTTCATAATGAAAATTCAGGGGGGTGACACCTTGAGGATGGCTTGTACCATCCTCAAGGAGGATGGCCTTGAGGAACTGGAGTCACAAGTATGTTGGAGGAAGTCAAGGCTGGACTGTGAGAGATATGAGAAGCCAAGAGGTGGACCCCAACCCCACCAGCGCCCACTCAAAAACTTAAACATCGCATTGGGTTGGAATTGCCCTTTCATTTTGTTATGGCAGACGGTTTACGCACCGTGCGTCAATGTCCGCTGTGAAAGCATTAAAAACGAGGCTTGATGCCATTTTTTTACCACAATTATTACAGAACTAGAATTTATGAATTGCGCAATCCAAGGCCCCCAGAAGCCAATGAGAGAGCCAGGAATACATTCACGTTCTTACGATGACCCCAATTCTCGTTTTCTCTGTAAAAAGCGACATTGAGAAGCCACAGTGCAAAACACTTTTTTTTTCCCGCCACTGAAGAGTTCCAATACTCACTGGCAGTTACAGCATAAAAAAAAAAAGTCATGGTTTTTAAACAAATACTTTTTTTGCACGACACAGGCGCATATTCAGGAAAACATATCTTAAACCATTGACCGCTGCGGCTCTTGAATATCATATAGGTATAACATTTTACATTAGACATAAAGTGAATTTGTCAGTCTGTGAACTAGTTAGAAAAAAAAAAAGTCAGCTGTTTTTGTTTTTCTTAATTGCATTGGCTTATTTAAAACAACAAACCACATGCACTGCTACTTTAAAAAAAAAAAATATTAATGAATCGCTCCGGGGGAAAACCATGTCCGCAAAATCAGACTTAAAAAGGAACAAGTGCACTTTTTTGATACAAAAAATAAAGTTGTCCCTCAAACCCGGCCAACCCAACGCACAGAACTGTAAGATCCCGAATTCTGTACAGGACATGCCTTCAACAAAGTGCCTAGAACCATGTATTAAAAAAAAGAAACAGGAGGTGCTCAGGGGAAGGGACAAAAAGCGTAGACAGACAGGAAATCTCTCTGGTGTCCTTTTAAATATTCTCTTCCTAGGAGGAAGTGCATGCTTCCCGCTCCTTCCTGCCAGCCAATCGTAAGCATGCATGCGGCATGGAACGCCATTTATGCTTCTTTTGATATAACTCCGTCTGCATCTCTCTTTCTGTCTCTAGAGGACATTAGGAACAAACGATGAAAGAAATTTGAGCCGGCAGAACCCTCGAGAACCCACGTACAATTTGCAGCAGCTCAAGAAGGGTGAGGTTATATTTGCAAACTTGCTTGATTTGGATATGAATGGGGGCAAAAGGTGTTTTTGAAAAGTGCACTTCTTCCTTAATATCCATTCTGCGTGCAGGGGGTTACGGACTGTGGTAAAAGGTCAACACATGTCTAGAGCATTGGGGCACTGTAGTCAATAACGGCCAATCATAGACAGCCTTTCATTATCCAGCACCCACTGGAGTTTATAAGCTAACGCATGATTGGCCACTAAAGGTTACAGCATCTCACTGCTCTTTTTAGGTAAGCCCAAAGTACCCACACCACATTGAGGGTGGCATTCAATGTGGCCGGTGTAGGACACAATGGTGGCCGTCTCCAGAGCTGCCGCACAACCTCAGCATGTTACACACGTTTGCCTTTTCTGTACCCAAACATCATAGAGAAGGTAGAGCAAGGGGGATACGCCTCTATATAAAAAAATAAATACTGATTTCTCTCCCCATGCTTTAAATAAAATATGTTGCAATGAGACAGGACTACAACGTCACAAGATGGAAAGGGGGGGCCTGTCCTTCACCACCTTCCTTCCCCTCCCCCAACCTACCACCCGCTCTCTTCCATGAGACCTCATACACACTTGTAAGAAAAGTTTTTGAAAAAAAAAAAATATCCTTGACATAAGCTATTTCTCAAAAACAAACACAAACATCTGTGGGGAGGGTGAGGGGGGAACAAAACAAAAAAAAAGTATGCACAAAGAAGCAAGCACTCGGAAGGAAATTTTAGCAGCAAGTAGTAAAGAAGTCCCGAAGTCCACTTGTTTCTGAGTCATCGGTTATTGAAGATCACCTCTAACCAGCAAGGACAACTGCTGATAAACTGTCTCGTGTAGCACTGTCCCCAGCCCTTCACAAAGCTTATCTGTACAGTGTACCCAGTCCAGGGCTGTTGCATAAACTCGTGGTCGTTGGGCCGTTGCAAACTGTAAGCCTTCTCATAGTCAAAAGCTTTGATGGAGAATCCGGGGAACACTTTATGGACCAATAACGTCCTAGAATCGGGGTTGTCCAGTGTGGCCGACTTGATGAAAATGGGATAGCTGCTGCGGTTGTAAACCCAGACGCCGTCCACTTCCTTGGTGAGCTGGATGCCGTAGCCGATTTTGCTGCGCACTTTGTGCACCAGCTGGCTTCTGTTGTCCGAATTCAGTTGTCCTATGCAGAAGCCGTTCCCCTGAGGTAGATCATAAAAGATATCCAGGGAAGGTTCTTGGACAGAATACAAACGACCCACCCGCGTTTTTTCTTCCCAGTACGCTACCACGCACCAATGGGACGGGTCCCCAGACTCCTGAAGAAGTTGGGAATCTGCAAAGAGAAGACGGAGAAAACATCAGGTTTGAGCTCAAATCAAAAGTTGACATACAAATACGGAGCGATTGGTACAAATATTGACAGGGTCATCCACTGAAGGGTGAAGAGTTTGGAGAAGGCCGGAGAAGTGAACAATCTAGGACAACATCGCTGAACTGGAAAGTGATCTGAATTGGAGAACTTTTCCAAATCTATGTTGTCCTAGATTGCTCCCTTCTCTCCCTTCTCCAAACTCTTCACCCTTTAGTGAATAGACCTCTTAAAATTGGTTTCCCATTGCCTTTCCCATTTTGCAACAGTGACACCCAAAGGCCAAGGATGGTTACTGTGGGGAAACAACCAAAAACGTTTTGGACTTTTGCAAAAACATTCAAAATCGAGCAACAAAATGGGCAGAAGTTCATTTGAGCCTTCAAGAGCTATACAGGAAATGCCATGGCCGACCTCCTGGAAATACTTCCGTATGGCTTGAGTCCCTGACCCGGGGCAAGCTGTTGAGTAAATTTAGAGGCAAGCCCTATGGTGCATGCTTGGCAACGCAAAAAGCATGACAGCCAGACAGACAGCATTTTCAGAAGTGGTCAGCAATGACGCTCGCCATCGCTCTCCCACGACGGGTTCCATTCAGGATGCTCTTTGGTCACAAAAGTACAAGAATATAATTTTTTTTCTACCAAAATATTTCTGGGATTCACAAAACACAACCAGGTCGGTGACCTCACTTTCCTCCACTTCAGTCATACAATACAGTTTGATCACCTCCCCTGCCCGCCCTAGCCTGTGAATGGATAATGAAGGAGCAGGAGAAGATCAATGAGGCCATCCCCCTGTTCACTGTGGTCTCTCTTTAGTAATTGCTTTCTTCAAATATATCTGCCTCCGAGTTCAGCTTCAGGCTACGCTACGTGGGCAGGCGACTCAAATGAAAAAGGGAGTATATGAGACGCAGCAATTTTTTTTTTTCACGGCGGCGCGGAGACTTGGGTAACAATCTCTCCCCGGCTCATCAATCTGTGGTTTTGTGGCATCGCAGGGTGGGGACCGGAAGTCTTGCACTGAAGCATTCATTGTATTTTGTCTGCTAACAATCGCAACTGCCACCCACCAGCCCTCGCAAAGGGAGTTTGTTTGTACTGACAGCACACCTCCCAAGGCACATCGACCAGAGAGGGGAACAGCAGGACAATGAGGGAAAACAACAACAAAAAGAGTTTGCATGAAAGCTACAAAAACGTATTAAAACAGCGTCCTGCGGTACAGCGGAGGGGAGGGGGAGGGGGGCATGAGTCACAGTCGTCAATTTAATTCCATATCATTAACTTCGAAGGGAAAACTTTTTTTTTTGCAAGCTGACCTTGCAAATAATTATTTTCT